AAACTGTTGAAAATACACAACATGGTTAATCCACATATGACAGCCTCTGAACTTGGTCAATCTTATATACAGGCACTGGACTAAAAATACATTCAATCAGTCATCGCTCCCAAAATGAATTCAACGGGTCATCTTCTTAATGCTATACATTAATTACAGCAATAAAAGAAAATTGAGGAAAGCAGAGAGGAAGTGGAAGAAAGACAAGCTGCAGGTGTCTTATGATATACTGAAAGAGGCTATGATTAAGTATCAGAAGGCAGTTAAAGCTGCAAAGATTAAATATTTCTCTGATCTCATAAGAAAGATTCCTAATAATCCTAAAGCGTTATTCAAAACAATAGATTCGGTTTTAAATCCTGATATAGCTACTGGTCTTGATATCACTCAAACAATGTGTGAAAAGTTTTAGAGTTCTTTTATTAACAAAACTGATATTCTTAGAGCTAGTATTCTACCTCCAGACTTTATCCTTGATTATATCATCCCACCCTCATTAGTACATTATTTAAGTGAGTTTAAACTGATTTCATTATCTGATTTGGTGGACTTAGTCTGCCATATGAAGCCCACTCAGTGTTCTTTGGACATTGTTCCTCCACGTCTCCTTATTCAGGTATTGGACGTGGTTGGCCTAGATTTTTTGTCAATTGTGAACTCCAGTTTACTGAGTGGTGTTGTGCCATCCTGCATCCAATTTGGATTCATCTGATTTAAAGAACTACCCGCCAATTTCAAAACTGTCTTTCCAGTCAAAAATTCTAGAGAGGGTTGTCTTTCAACAGCTTTCAATTCATTTAAATGGAAATGGTATTTTTGATAAGTTACAATCAAGATTTAGGGCCCAGCACAGTACAGAGTCGGGCCTTCTCAAAGAGTCTAATGATCTGTTTTTGGCTGTCGATTCGGGAAAGTGTACAATTTTGGTTTTACTTGATTTGACACTATAATACATGAAATACTGATGGAGCGCTTAAGACTGTGGGCTGGGATCCAAGGTATTGCTCTTAACTGGTTTAGTTCATATCTCTCTGGAAGAACTTTTTCTGTTGATTTAGGAAATTTTACATCCTCTTCTGCTCAAATGAAGTGTGGTGTTCCGCAAGGATCAATACTGGGTCCAGCCTTATTTTCTATTTACATGCTTCCTTTGGCTGATATCTGTCAGAAACATAATGTATATTATCATCTTTATTTTAATGATACACAGCTTTATCTGTCTATAAAAATGGGGGATAATTCAGCCTTACAGTCTCTCTTTGCATGTTTTAATGATATTAAGGAGTGGATGACAGCAAATTTTCTTCACCTGAATGAATCTAAGACTGAAGTGATACTGTTTGGCCCTCCGAGTTCTTCATTTAAAGACTTATCACTTCTCTCTTGCATTTGATTGTAATTAATTATGTAATTTTGTGATTGTTTTACAATTTTTAGATTGCATGCCTTATGTTTGATATGTAAAGCACTTTGGCCAACGTCTGTTGTTTTTAAGTGTGCTATATAAATAAATAGACTAGACTAATAGACTAGACTTAATTATACAATTTTGCAAACTAGTGCCACTAACAACATCTGTGTACATACCATTGGAGAACTTGCATTGTTTCAGTACTTCGCTGAAGCCCTCACAGAGTTTGAAGTCGCTCTGTGTCTGAGCGCATTCAATGAACTGCTTCAGCTCATATGCACAGGGACTCTGCTCCTGCTGCTGGTACATGGATGGCTGCTGCTGCTGGTACATGGGCTGAGCCTGGTAGGGCTCCTGTGGGAATGTTTAGGATAAAGAAGCTTTCAGGATTATATTGTTATTTGAAAGCAGAAATTCTAAAATCATTTAGCAAAATCAACCAGATTTAAAAGATGAACATAATTACTAATGCATGGCTGTACACGATGTTTGTCAGACAAAACGTCTATATAAGGATTTAAAAAAACATTTTGAGAGACTGTACTAAGTGCTTAAATGTACTGAATGTGCACTTGTAGTGTACTTCCCTTAGAAGTATATTTGGTATTTTACGGTGTCCTTGTTGCAAATGACATGTACTTACTTTAGAAATAACAACAAATTAAGCATTATTACATGCAACTAACCCCAAACCAAACCCTCATTCTAACCCTAAGCATATAGTAAGTACATGTAGCTAACTAATATTACTTAGTACTTAAATTTATAATTACACTGTAACAAAGACACCATAAAATAAAGTGTTTACGTATATTTTTAAAACTGTACTTGCAGATAATGAAATAATCGTAATGAAATAAAAAGACACTTAAGTGTACTTAAAGGGATAGTTCACCCAAAAATTAAAATTTGATGTTTATCTGCTTACCCCCAGGGCATCCAAGATGTAGGTGACTTTGTTTCTTCAGTAGAACACAAACGAAGATTTTTAACTCCAACCGTTGCAGTCTGTCAGTCTTATAATGGAAGTGAATGGGAGTCAAAAAAACATACACAAACAAAACCAAATTAAACCCTGCGGCTCGTGACGATACATTTATGTGTAAAGACACGAAACGATCGGTTTGTGCAAGAAACTGAACAGTATTTATATCGTTTTT